GCTCCGGGGTTATCGGCACTAGCAGGTAGCGCAGGTTGCCAGGTGTGTCTGACCATAAATGCTTGGGCAAAAGCTAACACGGTTCCTGTAAAGGGAAATCATGTCTTACTAATCTACGGGCACTCCTTCACTACCCGCCAGATCGGCGGGTAGCAATCGATCCATTGGGGATCGACTTATCGCGTCTAGTGAAGACGCGATAAAATCAATCCCTGATGGCTCTGCCGTCAACTCTGGAAATCCACCGTGGCAAGAGGCGGAAACGGAGTCGACGGCGGTGCGGCCGCGGTCGACTCGCCGCAGTCCTCACAGCCAGGTAAGTCGACCTAAAATACGCAACTTCAGCTACACTATTCACGTAGCTAAAGTTGCGTATCTTAGGTCCCCCCCCCCCCCCCCCGTAGTGTAGACCTAGCCTATTAGAGTTCCTTGAAGGGGTCAACAAACATGTGGACAAGGGGAATCCAGTGGACATAGTGTACGTAGATTTCCAGAAAGCCTTTGACAAGGTCCCTCACCAAAGGCTCTTACGTAAATTAAATTGTCATGGATAAGAAGGAAGATCCTTTCATGGATTGAGAACTGGTTAAAAGACTGGGAACAAAGGGTAGGAATAAATGGTAAATTTTCAGGATGGAGAGGGGTAACTAGTCGTGTTCCCCAAGGGTCAGTCCTAGGACCGATCCTATTCAAGTTATTCATAAATGATCTGGAGAAAGGGGTAAACAGTGAAAGTGGCAAAGTTTGCAGACGATACTAAACTGCTCAAGATAGTTAAGACCAAAGCTGACTGTGAAGAACTTCAAAAAGATCTCATAAAACTAAGTGATGGGGCAACAAAATGGCAAATGAAATTTAATGTGGATAAATGTAAAGTAATGCACATTGGGGAAAAATAACCCCAACTATACATACAATATGGTGGGGGCTAATTTAGCTACAACTAATCAGGAAAGAGATCTTGGAGTCATCATGGATAGTTCTCTAAAGACGTCCATGCAGTGTGCAGCGGCAGTCAAAAAAGCAAACAGGATATTAGGAATCATTAAAAAAGGGATAGAGAATAAGACAGAGAATATCTTATTACCCTTATATAAATCCATGGTACGCCCACATCTTGAATACTGTGTACAGATGTGGTCTCCTCATCTCAGAAAAGATATACTGGCATTTGAAAAGTTTCAGAGAAGGGCAACTAAAATGATTAGGGGTTTGGAACGGGTCCCATATGAGGAGAGATTAAAGAGGCTAGGACTTTTCAGCTTGGAAAAGAGGAGACTAAGGGGGAATATGATAGAGGTATATAAAATCATGAGTGGTGTGGTGAAAGTGAATAAGGAAAAATTATTTACTTGTTCCCATAATATAAGAACTAGGGGCCATCAAATGAAATGAATGGGCAGCAGGTTTAAATCAAATAAAAGGAAGTTCTTCTTCACACAGCGCACAGTCAACCTGTGGAACTCCTTGCCTGAGGAGGTTGTGAAGGCTAGGACTATAACAGTGTTTAAAAGAGAACTAGATAAATTCATGGTGGTTAAGTCCATTAATGGCTATTAGCCACGATGGGTAAGGAATGGTGTCCCTAGCCTCTGTTTGTCTGAGGGTGGAGATGGATGGCAGGAGAGAGATCACTTGATCATTACCTGTTAGGTTCACTCTCTCTGGGGCACCTGGCTTTGGCCACTGTCGGCAGACAGGATACTGGGCTGGATGGACCTTTGATCTGACCCAGTATGGCCGTTCTTACGTTCTTATGTCCTTGGAGCTCCAGTGTTATCGGCACTGGCAGGTAGCACAGGGTGCCCGGTGTGTCTGTCCTCGGAGCTCCGGTGTTATCGGCACTGGCAGGTAGTGCAGGGTCCCCGGTGCGTCTGTCCTCGGAGCTCCGGTGTTATCGGCACTAGCAGGTAGCGCAGGCTGTCCGGTGCGTCTGTCCTCGGAGCTCCGGTGTTATCGGCACTGGCAGGTAGCGCAGGCTGTCCGGTGCGTCTGTCCTCGGAGCTCCGGTGTTATCGGCACTAGCAGGTAGCGCAGGCTGTCCGGTGCGTCTGTCCTCGGAGCTCCGGTGTTATCGGCACTAGCAGGTAGCGCAGGCTGTCCAGTGCGTCTGTCCTCGGAGCTCTGGTGTTATCGGCACTAGCAGGTAGCGCAGGTTGTCCAGTGCGTCTGTCCTCGGAGCTCCGGTGTTATCGGCACTAGCAGGTAGCGCAGGCTGTCCGGTGCGTCTGTCCTTGGAGCTCTGGTGTCATCGGCACTGGCAGGTAGCGGGGGAAAGGGAGAGAAGCCAGGCTGAGCTAACACCACTGTTACTCTGACTCCGCATCGTCCCCACTCACCCTCCGTCTCCTGGGTGTGGTGCCCGGCTCGGGGTGTGTGTGGGGTGTCTCTTTGTCCCAGGTCACTGTCTGTGCCATGTGTGGGGAGGAGGTCACATTTTCCCCCTGTGGGGGCCCTGACATTCACCCCAGCCCATGAGGGGGGTGGGCAGCGGTTAAGGGGTGCTGCCAGCCATGGTGATGTCTCCCCCCTCCACTGAACCACCTCCCCCCCCCCAGATCCTGCTGCCTCTCATCAACCAGTACTTCCACAACCACTGCCTCTACTTCCTGTCCACACCCGCCAAGGTGCTGGGCAGCGGGGGCCATGCCTCCAACAAGGAGAAGGAGATGATCACCAGGTAAGTGGGGGGGGGGGCCCTGGGCAGGGGAGGGGGGGGCATACCCGGGTGTCACTCTCAGTGCTGCCTGGTCCCCGGTGTGCATTGGACCAGATGCCCCCATCCAGCCACGTGGCAGCCAGAGGCTTAACCCCCTCCCCCACCTCTCTCCCCCGCATGGTGACTCAGAGCTCCAGGTGTGGGGCTTTGCTGGTGCCCCTCACCTCTGACCTGCAGCCCTGCTATCCCAGCCCTGGGCTCCCCCCACCCCAGCTCTGCCAGTGCCTCTCACTCCCAACCTGCAGCCCCCTGCTATCCCACCCTGGGCTCCCTACCCCCAAGTGCTGTTAATGAGGGAGTGATGAGAGCCCCATTGACCCTCCACCCTTCTCTGCCTCCTATCTCTGCCCCGTGTGCACTCATCCTCTGCAGTGTCTCTCTCTTTCACTCTCTCTTTTCCTCTCTCCCACTCTCCCTTCAGCCTTTTCTGCAAGCTTGCAGCCCTGGTCAGGCACCGGGTCTCTCTGTTCGGTAAGCGCCCCTCGCCGTGGGGCTGGGCTCTCTGGGGGAGGAGGGGGGGCACCTGGCCTTCCCATCGCCCAGCCCTGAGGGACGGGGGCTGGCCTGGGCTGAGCCAAACCCCAGAGGGAGCAGTTGTGACCCATCCCAGATTGCCCTGGGCTCGTCGGGGGCTGTCCTGCCCCCCAGTCCCAACCCCTTTCTCCTCCCCCTTGTATCCCTGCCCCCCACGCTGTGGCCCTTCTTCTCTCCCAGTCTGGGCCCAGGCTTGTAGCTAAACAGGTGTCTCTTGGCCCCTTTGCCTGGATCCCCCTGCCCCAGAGGCCTGGATCCCCCCTGCCCCAGTGAGTGCCTGAGCAGGGTCTCTTCCCCCAGGCACGGACGCTGCCGCCGTGGTGAATTGCCTGCACATCCTGGCTCGCTCCTTGGATGCCAGGTGAGCCCCTGGGGCTGGGTCCCCTCCCCGGAGCGTCTGGTGGGGGCAGGATTGGGGCCAGCCAGAGCCATGGCGGGGGGAGAAACTGAGACCTTGAGAGGGGAGCTAAAGAAATAGGAGAGATTTCACTACCCAGAGACAGTACTCAGAACTAGGGACCCCTCGCCTGGCATAGAGATGCGTCCCCTCTGATGTGGGGCATGGGGCAGGTTATACAGGGACCCCTCGCCTGGCACGGAGTTGCGTCCCCTTTGGGGTTGGGCGCGGGGCTGGTTGCACAGGGACCCCTCGCCAACGTGGAGATGCGTCCCCTCTGGGGTGGGGCGCGGGGCAGGTTACACAGGGACCCCTCGCCCGGTGCGGAGATGCGTCCCCTCTGGGGTGGGGCGCAGGGCAGGTTACACAGGGACCCCTCGCCCGGTGTGGAGATGCGTCCCCTCTGGGGTGGGGCGCAGGGCAGGTTACAAAGGGACCCCTCACCCGGTGTGGAGATGCGTCCCCTCTGGGGTGGGGCGCAGGGCAGGTTACAAAGGGACCCCTCGCCCGGTGTGGAGATGCGTCCCCTCTGGGGTGGGGCGCAGGGCAGGTTACACAGGGACCCCTCGCCCGGGGTGGAGATGCGTCCCCTCTGGGGTGGGGCGCAGGGCAGGTTACACAGGGACCCCTCGCCCGGGGT